TAGGATTCAGGCGGACTAGTTTTGGATTACTTTAGGGGATAAAACAAACTTTGGATGCATTTTGGGGCAAAATTGGACTACTTCTTGCTCACTTGCTCACATAATAAAATTCGCTGCTAAGTTATTTCCAAAAATATGAGCCATATTTTCTTCCTTCAAACATCCTCAAAACAATTGCCAAATAAAACCACGAGATATACAGTAGTTAACGATACAGAGCTTTTCTTTATTCTCACTAAATCTGAACATGATTACTGATGTAGATTAAAGTTTGCAAAGAGGTGTGCAAACATTTCATGAAAGCGGGAGGAACATTCGTGATATTTTGGAGAATCAGGATATTAGAGCTTCTTGAAAAGCGTTGATTGAAGTTTTCGATGATCTGCGAACATTTTTGAAAACCAAAGCTACGTTCCCAATGTCATTTCAATTCTTGAAAAAATTAATTTACCACTTTTTAACCCCTCTATTTCTACCATTAGACGTCCAACGCTTTCTAGAAAAAAAATCGTGGAATGAAACTTGAAAAATGTCTTCTGCTGGAGGACTTTGAGCCAAAAAAATTATTGTAATTTACTGTCAGGAATAAAACCCAACAAATGAAGATTTAGGCAGTGAACCTTATTTGAAAGAGAAATTGAGTATGAAAGTTTGAATGAAACTCAGAAATTCGGTCGGGCTGCGACCGGGGTGAGAACACCCTAAAGGGAAAAAAAGGGGAGCCTTGAAGCTTTCATTTTTTTTATTTTCAGGTGAAATTTTTCTGTGGAAAATTAAAAAAATGCCAGGATTTTTCCGGACTTCGCCCTGCACACACTGTTGAGGTTTTTTTAATTCCACTCTGGAGTGACACAAAAATCTGCGAAAAAAGTCCGACTTAGCCGCAGAAGGGTTAAAAAAGAAATCGTGGAATGAAACTTGAAAAATGTCTTCTGCTGGAGGACTTTGAGCCGAAAAAATTATTGTAATTTACCAGAACTCAATTCAAAAATTCAATGCGCAACAATCATCGTACCCCACTGAACCAGAAAGTAAACTGTTTCATTTTCAAACCTACGAATGTGATGAAAAAAACACATTAAACTTGTGATTGTTTCACGAAAGAAGGGAAGCAAAGTTTCAAGTTATATTCCGCGAATATTTCCAAAAACATTGCACTTTTAATGGACGGATTTAAATGGTATGAAAGCAATGATTTCTGCATTTTCGAAGCAAGGATTCATCGATCGTTCTTTGAGACATGTTGATCGCGCTAGAAATATATATTTGATATTTGCCGAACTTCAAAAGCTCAAATGGTAATGTACAGTACTAAAACAAACGATCAGGAAATAGGCTTTGCAACAAAACGCCACATATCCATTGTCCCAATGTAATCCTTTTAATCCGGAGAAAATAATTTCAAGAGTCATATTTTTCATGCTGTGAGAAATGACATCTTGTCATTCAAAGATTTACAGTATTCAATTTCATAATTGAAACAAAAGTTACTCAGTTATTAACGCATGAACAAGTATTTAGAGACCAAAAGTTAGCATCCACTTCAGAATACGATGTCATTTTTTTGCGATGGATTCAAATGAAAGATTTCTCTGGATGCTCTTAGTCTATTGCATATACCAAATTGCGATTTTCTGAACAAATTATTATATAACCCAACTGACAAGATGAACTCAGAAATCTCAAAAAATTCGGTGGCTACTGTTCCACGAAATATTTTTAAATTCTCTCGAATAAGAATTTTTTTTTAATATTCGGATAAAAAAATAAAATCAATTTACGGGTAATAATCCCTTATTAGAGAGCAAAATAAATAATTGATAATACCGTATAACATTAGATTTGGTCATCTCTACATCGCACCAGTTCAGCTTTGGTTAGTTTTTTTTCCTTGCAAATCATCATCTATTGAAATGAAATAAAATCCATATGATTGTTTTCACTGCAATTCGCTCATGAGAATTGATCATGCTGTGATCATGTGATCCTAATTTAATTTCTCGGTCATGCCATGAGAGGATTATTCACGTGTCGGTCATTTAAAAACTTAAGAAATATAGATCAAGTCAATTTTCCAATGCAAAAGAAGCTTCCTTTTGCAGCAGGCACTTGATATTGCATCTTTCTTCCGACTTTTCCAAAGGAAGATTGCACAACGAGAGAGACGACAAAACTTTCAAATAATTTATTACTAAAACTGAATAACGTCACTTCGAATCCTGTCATATTGCTTGGAACGATTTCGAAATTTATCAACATTGTTCACAGAATTTCCGATCCATTAATCTGATTTCTCACCTGTCATTCAAAGGTCGGATGCGGCAGAAAACTTTCACTTCACTGCCAATTTTTTCCTGCTTCATTTCGCGACAATATGACTCGAAAACGTTTCTAAAATTCGTCCATGATCAAAAACGTATCAAATATTACGAAAAACGATTTTCTCATAATAATAGATTCCTTCATCGAGCACTCACTATTTTTTTTTTTAAATCGTTTTTCCACCAGAGTTATCCGCTCGACAGTGAACGAGACTTTGTGCGCAATGTTTAGTACGTGCAGAAATCTTCTAGCTCACGCGGCGTGTCGACGTGCCAGGCAAGACATTTCGGGGCACTTCAAGTTTGTTTCTTCCAAAAAAAAATGTAAAAAAAAATTCAGGATCGTCTGAAGCGTTCGACATGCCATAGGCTGAATGTTTAATTCAGAAATATTCTTCGAAAACGTCCTCAAGTCAAGGTAATTACTGGGAATTTAGGCCACACTGCTGTCTTTTAACGATACCCGAAATTATATGGGAATGAATACGATGAAATGAAATTAAGCTCTACCATGGCTGACTTACACAATGAGGTGGAAAACATGCACAGCATTTCTGCGATTTTCAGATCATTTTTTTTTTACAGTATTCATGGAATCTCTTCATTCACAATTTTTTTGGAATTTTCAATAAGAAAATTTTTGACGTCTTTGTCTTGTCATTTGGCAGAAAAGCTCATCGAATTTTCGTAGCTTAGACAGTTTATTTTAAAATTATCGCCCAACATATTTTATATGCCTAAACGCAAATACAGTAAAAACTTACTGATCGAAGCAAGAATTTGATTTATTTTCAATAAATCATGGCGTGTGTCATTTCCAATTTTTTTTTAAATTCGGCAGCGTGCGGAAACCCTCACAATCTCTGGATCCTTTGTATAACGCGATTAATAACTTTATTGCTAGAAATTTTGAACAGACATAAAAATCTGATGAATTAAAATCATCAATATTGAATGACTTGGTATTGAAAATTGGCCTCGGTGTTTGAAGTTGGCAGGACTGTGTACCGGAATTTGAATTGTTTTAAATCTTAACTTATATAGGAAAGAACTCTAAATTCAAAATGAAGGATCACCGTTCCTTGTTCTTACTTCGAAGTCACCCAAAGGCTTTTTTTTTATAAGCATAGTTCCTCTCGCAGCCATAAAAAGAATACCATCAGAGATATCTATAATCTTTCCTTCTGCCTTTTGAACCGTGTATTCACGGGATGAATTCAGCCAACGCACATCACGTTTTTAAGTCAAGGAAATTTGTTGAAATATGTGAAGAATTCATGCACACATGCTTTCTGCACGATGAATTTGCAGTAGGGTGAATTCTTCGGTCATTCTGCCTTCGTATAAGTCGCAGAAGCTTTTGCACATATATTTCGTAACGGAGGATGGCATGACAGGTCAGGAAGTCATTGATGAACATTCCTCCGGGCCTCGGTGTCGAGGGAATAGATTATTTTCGGAGGCGTTGAGCCGTTTCCTCTCGAGTGAGAGTGGATTGACTTGCTGCTCAGCTGGGGGAAAACCGAATGTGTTTTGCAGCACAGCATGGGGTTCCCGTCCCTTCTCAGTTTAAAAATAGATGTAGAGTGAGTAGGAAATGTGAGCAAAACGCGGGGAATGTTTCGGTCATGTCACACGCGGAACCTACAATCACGCCTCATTCACGGAAGAAAGAGAACGAAGATTCAATTTTTAGCATAATGAAATGTTTTTTGAAAGGTTTAATAGAAAGTGATCAATGCTTTGAGATGAGGGACATTAGTTGATAAGGTTTTTGGTACACCCGGAAAGTCGAAAATGAAATTACAGTGATGTGCTTCCCGTTCGAGATAGTTGTGGACCCGAACTTGCAGTGACATCTATTTACGTTTACTACTGTCGAAGGAATGCTTGTCTCTCGTCAGTTATGCAGTTGTCAGGATTTTTGGCCAACAGAGAATACGTTTCGAGAGAAAAACGGATATTCGACGAAGTGTACTTTTCCATTGATACAATCGAACACGAGAAGCACGTGTAAATATTTGCGCCTCAAATTTTGACACTGATAAATAACGTACTTTAATTTTCGCGAGTTGCATCCGAATGAGTTTCAGGCATTCCTATAAATTTATCATCGACAGCGTAATTTCCTCGAACAAAGATTACATCGCGAGTAACTGTGCTTTTGTAAGAAGAATGCTTTCTCATAATTCTTTCTGCTTGACTTTCAATTTAGCAATTCATCTCAATGTTGGGGTTTTGAGAAGTAATATGCAATTGCTATCTGCAAATCGAAGATGTCGTCGGATGCAGAATTAAATCTTTTGATCTAAAGGCGCCCCTCGTTTTCTTTTAGATAATTTTCGGAGAATATCTGGATGCTTCTTTTATTATTCGAATTTATGAGGTCGTCATTGTGTATTTAATCCCTTGTAATTTGACATAATTCAGAACAGATCGTAATAAAAGCTATTTATTATGCGTTTCAATGTAAGCCTCAATTATGACGGTGAATTGATAGAAAGGAAGTGTCTATAGAGTGAAAAGCTTTTATAGCTAATCCCCAAGGGAAATCCCAGCTGAAGAATATGTTTTGTTCAGCTTTTTTCGGTGTTTTCCACACTTCGTTGGAATTCTTTTTTGCATCATTTTCTCGGAAGACGAATCCTTTCCACAAGGAAGAAAGGTATAAAATCATCATAATTTTGCACACAAAAAATCAACCGTCGTATTTATTCCTCTTCTCCCGACACATCGTTGGAAAGACACCGAATATTCCATCTTAACTCTGTCAATCTCCGGTTAAAAAATAGGCTTTGCCAATTTTGGTTTACTTCGCCCCTCACAAAAAAAAATTGCTCCTTGCGTCATGAGCAAGCAAAAAACATTTCCCAGCCGCCGCACTTCAAAACTATTGCCACTAAAATCTGCGGACCCCAAGAAAAAGAAAAAAAAATGTTTCCCCCGTTTCAGTTGGTCTTTTTTTTTGGCGAGAAGCTCAATTTGAAGAACATTTTTGGTTCGCTGATTTGCTTTCATGCGACTCCGATATTAGTTTCCGGAATTCCCCTTTTCCTTGTTCACCGGAAACACTCCTGGTCATGAATGATTTTCAATTATTGCCAAAGTGCTGGGTCTCTTGATTTTGGCGCCTGTTGCAGGCGGAAACCCGACGACGTCACTTTCCGAAGGAATATTGCAATTTTCTGCAGAATCTGGAACAGCGATCACCACGTCGTTCAATCCTGGATCCCCGGGATCCGTCGTCAAAGATAAGGTGATTTCTGGATGACATTCTTCCTATTTTTGAAAAAAAGAAACGTTATCCTCAAAAAAAACCATCCATGTTGTATCGCTTCTTATCAAACTAAGCATGCAGCTCACACATTTTCAGCAGATTCGATTGAATATGAAAGCTGGAAATGAACATCGAGGAAAATTATATTTGCTCTAGTTTCCGAAAGCGTGGGTGACGTTCTTCGTATACTGTATATAGGACTTTATTTTTTTTATTTTTTGGTCCAAAATTTATTAAAATAATAACGTTTAAAACGAGCAGTTTCGTTTTGGACAGATTCCGAATATTGTGAAAGCCAAAGCACACATGACAGCATCCATATCATCAGGAAGCATCACTAAAAAAAAATCAAACTTCTTTTGCGACAACTGAAAAATGCTACTTTTTGCAGATAGAAAATTTCGACCAACTATATGCGTTTTATTTCGTTGCGGTTCTTAAAACCTTGTACCATCTTTTAGACGTTTAGGGAATGGAAAGTTTGTTCGGATTCAAATCTTGGAAACCATGAAAAATCTTGAAAAAATTGTTTTTAAAACCCCACTAAAGTAATCCATAGTATATTTCAAAAAATCAGCATGTAGGCCAAATAAATTAGAGAACAACTCATCTTCATAAATCGCTTGAAAAAAAATTGGGCCTTATGCGAAAATTATCTCTTGGAAAAAAAGAAGAAAAATGAGAATTTCGGTTGAAATGTCCTTTTATCGACACTCGACAGCAGCAACTGAAATCTTCTTCAAGGCTAAAAACTCATATTTATATCGCTTGAAAAAAAACAGCATGGCTTCTGTAAATATATATATATATACAGTATATATATATTTTTTAAATTAGGATTTCAGTTGAAATGTCACCCTATTGACAGCAAAACCTCAACACATCTTCAAGAGCAACCACTCATCTTCATGTATCACTTGAAAAAAGCGGGGTTTCTGCATAAAAATGTCTTCTTGACGAATGAAAAAAAAAATACAAAATTTCAGTTGAAATATGTTACCCTGTCGACAGTGACGACTAGTATCCCGCCGTCGTCATCGTCGTCGACAGCGTATCCCGGCAATGTTCTCTGTCGACGCATTGGTGACGTTGGCAGCAGGTTCATTGGCACCATCAATGAGCTCATGGGCTGTGAAGACGACGGTTGCAGAAAACTTGTTGACTCAGGAGCCAGTCTTGAGTTTGTGCTAATCTCCGGAGTTTGCAATACTGCGATGGTGCGTAATGCTGTCGCCTGCTCGAAATCTGGTTCCTGGTTGCAAATTAAGCGAAAGAATCATGTAAAAATTGAGTTTTTGTGATGATTATTTCAACATTTGTTTAGGATATCTAATTGCCTTCATCTTCTTGGAAGTTTTGAGATGAGCAGCTCATTGTTGGATATTGATTTGGAACCTATATTTAGAGTCCAGAATTCTTTAATTCAAAAAATTTCCCCAGCAAACGTAAGCAAATTAAATATCTGGAAGCTTTTTGGCTATTATTGTGGGACCCCAGAAAGAGAAAAGCAATAAAACTATAGCTGAATGCTTTTCAAAAGAGGCTATTGACTAATTCCAAAAATACACACTTGCCATCTACTTCAGCAGTTAGCTCATTCATCCAAAAATGCAAGGTCCAGGATATCAAAAATTTTAAATTCTTGGAATTCTGCACTAAACTATATGTGTATTTTCTACCCCCCCCCCCCTTCCTACGCGAAAAATTTGTTGGGGAGTGGGCTTTTAACCTAGGGGGGCTTTTGGACTACACCCGGATCAAAGAATTAGTTAACACAGAATCAGCCCCAGTCAAGGGCTGGTAATTCTTGGTAGCATCCCTAATTCAATTTATAGGATATATTTTAATTGCCAAGATGCATATTCTAATGTGAAGATACATGTGCTTTTCTGCTGATATACTTTCCTTTGTTTTCAAATGCGTTGATTTTTCAAAAACTCAGATTTGAATTGATCAACCTTCTTATTCCATATAACATTTCAGTTTTTTTCATGGAAATCTCAGTGAAATTTTCTTGACCAAGAATTTGATTGATCCATACAAGTCTGTTGTAACAAAAACCTCCCCTCCCCCTCCCAGCACCAACCAGAAGTGCACAATAATTCCAAAAGGCAGATTTTAGCACAGCAGCAGGCTTTTCTGAGAAATGACCGCAGGAGAAATAAGTGCAAATTTCAGCGTGGAAGAAAATGCTGGTTGGAGGAAAGATTACAGAAACTATCTTTAACATCAATGATAGAACACCATTATGAAGTGCCAGCAGAAAATGAAGACAATTGGAGAAAATGCCAGAGCGAGGCAATGTTGGGAGAGAAAATTGTGTCTTTTGCTGTCAGAGGAATGATGGGTTTGAGGAATCAAGAGGTATAACAACATAATTTACTTTCAAGTGGCCTAAATTACGCTGAATATTATGTTACTTTGAATTCCGATCATGCACTGAATTCAGATTATATTGACTACGAGGGCGTCGTTGAATGTGAGACCCCATGAACTTTAAAATGCCGTCGAATGCCATGGCAAAAGACGCTAAAAAATAGACGCACCCGATTATTTTG